CCATACCTGACTTCTATTAATGGTATACACTTCTTGTTTTCTTTTCACCTTGTTTTGCTTGGGGAGCTAATAGGGATAGAACTTGGGGTCTTACAGGCGGTTAGACAAGTGCTTTACCACTGAGCTACATCCCTAACCCTAGGCAGTCCAGGCTGGCCTAGGAGTCATGGTCCTCCTGCCCTAACCTCATTTGCTAATGGCACGTGCCACCATTGCTTATGTTTTGTAGTTATGCTTTGAGACAGGGTCTCTCTATGTAGTTCAGACTAGCTTTGAACTCCTGATCCTCCTGCCTTAGCCTCTCTGAGGTTGGGATTGCACATAGGTTGCTGTGCCCTGCTTGGATCTCTTGGGAGAGGGGGTGAAAGAATCAGATTTCTAAATAGTAGACAATGCATCTCCACAGTTGACTGGAAACGCAGACCTGTGGCCACCCTGGGCCACATCTGAGCATGGGCTCTGCCATTTCCACCTCTTCCTGAAGGATTCTACACTTGACCATGTCAGCTGCTGTCAGGAGGCAACAGAGTAATGTGACCAGAAATGTGAGTTCCCAGTCACATTGTCTCCATTCTGATCCTGATCTTGTAAATGGCCACCTCACTGTGCCCCTGTGGTCCTCACGGGGCTGCCGTGTGGAGTGAGTGGGATGGAACTTATAAATGGTAGCTGTAACTGTGGTGGTCATCAGCATTGCTATATCCACCCTTTGTCCATTTACAGTGCCACCCTGACCTTCGTGGCACTTGAGTTTAAGAACAAGCCTGGGGTCACGGATGTGGTGGCCCCACCTCACTGCTGACTGTCCCACTGCCTGCTGCACAGCAAATGTGTCCAGTGATGACTGGGATGGATTGGGAGCCTTCCGATACAGAGCAGAGTGCTTTGGCTAAGTAAGGGCTTGCTCTGCTAGCCATCCCAGGTGGGAAACATTAAGTGAGAGACTGTAGCTGTTTTGGTTTAGTTTACACAGGCGGTTTTTTAAATGTATTTACTTATTAGATTTATTTATTTATTATGTATGCCTGCATGCTAGAGGAGGGCACCAGATCTCATTAGAGATGGTTGTGAGCCACCATGTGGTGGCTGGGAATTGAACTCAGGTCCTCTGGACCTTTGAACCATCTCTCCAGTCCCACAAGGTAGTTCTTTGTTTCTTTGTTTGTTTGTTTTGAGACAGGGTTTTTCTGTTAGAACTTGCTCTGTAGACCAGGCTGGCCTCGAACTCACAGAGATTCGCCTGCCTCCGTCTCCCGAGTGCTGGGAGTAAAGTTGTGCACCACTATCGCCCGCACGTCCCCCCCCCCCCCCAGGTTATTCTTAACAAACGACAGATTGTTTGTGAGCTCCATTCCTCTTTGAGGCTGCAAGCTCAGACGCCTTGGCCTTCCTTGCCTCCTCTTAATAGCAGTCACAGGGCTTAGAGGTGTATGCCACACGCGTAGCCAAGTGTCCAGAGGTAGGGCAGAAGGAGCTCCCTAACTGCTCTGCTGTTTTCTTGGCCCTGCTGCCCTTTCTGAGAGGGCTTTAGTCCTAGGCTAGCTCCACAGGGTAGTCACAAAGGCTCCCCGAGCCACTTGGCTCTGCGTTGTGCTGATTGTTCCCCAGCTGGAGACCTGGTATTCTGTCTGAGTCCTGGTGACTGCATCCATCATGTAGGGGACACTGGTTATTGCTAGTTCTTCCTATGACTGCTCAGCTTAGCGAACATCTGAGGGGAGGGTGACAGTTTGCAGTAAGTAGGACACTTTGGGTCATGAGTTATTGATGGCAAATGTGTGATCAGGAAGAGTGGCATTAGTGAGAGTCATCCCTCAGTAAAGCCAGAAGGTCACATCAGTTTCCTGAGGACAGGGAAGGACGCTGTCTCTGTTAAGGCAGTAGCCCTTATTCTGTGTGTAGGTACACCAGAGATGGACGTCCACTCAGGTCCCTGATGCCCCTGGGCACAGTGCAGCCTGGGCAATAACTTGGGGGTGATGACCTCCTCATCCTTCACACGTCATAGAGAAAGCCACACTGTGTAAGGGGAGAGGAGGCATGGCTGCTAAGCCTGGTAGGTGGACTGGTGCTGTCCTCAGTGCTCTTTAGCCTGTGGAGCCCAGAAATGTCAGTGAGGCATAGGCTGGCCCATTCTTTCCCTCTCTCTTTCCTCTCTCTCTCTCTCCTCCTCCTTCTTCTGCAAGTGTTTTGCTGTGGAGTATGTGTGTATATGTATGCATGTGAGGTATGTGTGTGTGTAGTGTGGCGTATATATGCATGTATGTGTATGTGTGTGTGTGTGTGGGTGGTGTGTTTGTGGGTGGTGTGGTTTCCAGACACAGCTGACTTGGTCAGTTTTGGAGGCAGACTTCAAGATGTTGGATTGCATCTTGATTGTGTCACCCTTGGAAGGAGAGCATGAATAAATATGCAGCCTCCTTGGCAAGCACAACATGCCCTCAACTTTGGAGATTTTCAGTTCCACCTAAAAATAAGCTCCAGACTGTTCTGTCCTGCATTTGATCCTCAGGCTGTCACAAGCAGGAAGGAAGACTGAATAATGAAGTCCCAGGTAAGGTGGGCAGGTGGCACCTCCAATGAGGTAGCGGTTGAAGATGGTGTCGTGGCAGGCAAGGGTGGAAAGCATAGGGAACACAGGCGGCTTCTCCCAGCCTGTGCAGAGCTTCCTGAAGTGGGGAGAAGAGGTGGAGAACCTGGATGCCTAAAATGTTAAGGGTTGGTGCCAGGAAACAGGACGCTGTCTGGGAGGGTCTGATGTGCTGTGTAGGGGCGAGCTAAGGTCAGGTGCCAGCAAAAATGCAGAGAGCCCTGAGAGCCCAGGAGTTCAGGGAACCTGCTGAGCTTAAAAGGGAGACTTGGGGGCTGAGAAATGAATGGCTCAGTGGGTGAAGGTGCTTGCTGTCAAGGGTGACGACCTAAGTTCAATCCCTGGAATTAGATTCTACACTGAGGAATTAGAGACCGGACAAGCTGTCCTTTTACCCCTACAGGAGCATTGTACATGTGTGAACCCACCCCTACCCCACTAAATAATTCATTAACAAAATATGTGGCATAGGCCTGGCTCACGGTAGTTTGCTCACCTACATGTCCTGCATAAAACTAGGTATGGCAGCAAATGCTTGTGATTCCAGTACTGGGGAGGTAGTGGCATGAGAATTAGAAACTCAAAGTCATTCTTGGCACAAGTTCAAAGCCAGCTTGGGCCTGTCTCAAAACAAAACAACAACACCCCCCCCAAACACACACAGAGAGAGAGAGGGGGGGGGGCTGGAATGGAATGGAATTGAGCCTGTGAGGAATACCTGAATGCCAGGCAAAGGGGTGGTGGCAGGGGAGACTCTATGTATTGTTTCTGATGAGGGCATCTGGGAAAGAAAGCCCCCTGGTGGTGCCTTTGTCAGGTTACATTTGCAGCCCCTAGGGGACTTGTGAATGGGTAAATTGGGCCATGATGCCCTGGGGATGGTGATAGGAAGGAAGGGTCATTGTGAAAAATAGTCTCCACCAAGAGTCCTTGAAAACAGGTTTAGGGCAAACCTGGCTTGTTTGTAATAGGTAGAAGAGTCACGTAAGATCTAGGCTACTTATAGGCATATTTAGGCATGATGGGACAGGTGCCAGTATCGTAAGGCAGGTTGGATTTTTGTGCCAGAAGCCAGACAGGCAAGAGGTACGGGCCAAGCGTGGCTGCAGAGAGCTGATGTCTAGGTGCTGAGGAGGCTCTTGTGTAGCGGAAGCCTCAGGTGTCTAGGTGCTGAGGAGGCTCTTGTGTAGCGGACGCCTCAGGGTCTCCCGCCTACCCCTGACTCCTTTGCCCACAGTACTGTGCCCACATTTTCAAAAGGGGTTGCTGTGACACTGCTTGGAGCTCCACTGTGGAGCTGTAGACAGGAGAGACTCCTGTGTACCTTCTGGTGGTGGTTAGGGCATGGGCACAGAGGAAGGAAGGTATGATTCTGCCCAACATGGAGCTCTGTGGACTGCAAACCTGCCCTTGGGTGGTATCTCACTCCCACTCCCAGGGAAGCCAGAGAAATTGTCCGCACAGAGTTGAGTCCAGCCTTGACTGTCTCTTCAGACCGTATTGTCTCTCTTACAGTGCTATAGACCAACTTCAGTGGGGACTGATGCCCACTTTTCTGCTGAGGTCAGGCTTCAACTTTCTCTCCCAGAATCCTCATTCTAAATAGTAATTGCTAGGGTAGGCTTGGAGACCCCTCCAGATCCTGAGGTCTCCAGAGACTACCACTGAGGAGGAAGCAGACTCCTCCCCTGAGCCCTAGACCTGGGTCCATCTTCAGGAGTCTTGGCTCTTCCAGCCAGGTTCCTGCAGGGACTCTGTGTATGATACATACGCAGTGGAAAGTGGTTGTGGAGGACCACCAGCCCAGCCTGATAGGGAGGGCCGGGAAAGGGCCAATGAGGGAGCAGCAGCATTTCCACCTTCCTCCGAATTGGCTGCATGGAATATACACTCCAACCTGTGCCTTTTGGGCTTTTGAAGATCCAGGGAAGGGTTGGGGATCTAGCTCAATTGGCAGAGTTTCTGCCTAACATTCATAACACTTGGGGACCTAGCACCACTTAAACCTGGCATGGAGTGCATGCCTGTAATGTCAGCACACAGGCAGTGGAAGCAGAAATTGAAAACTGAGTATTATTCTTGACTATGTAGCAAGTTAAGGTTATCTTGGACTACATGAGACTCTGTTTAATGAAAAGATCCAGGGAACCGGGTGGGGTGGCACACACTCATCATCTTAAACACTTTGGAGACTGAGGCAGTGGGATAGCAAGTTCAAGACCAGCTGGCCTCTAAAGTGAGGGGGGACTCAGGGACCCTCTCTGGGAGTGTGGCATGGAGTTGGAACCCTGATAACTTCAAGGTGTGTCCTGGGTGGTGCTGAGAACTCAGGCACCAGCGTCAGGGCTGGTTTGACACAGACATATCTTCCCTCGGGGGGCTCACTGTCTCGCTGTGCTTTTCTTGGCAGAACGCAGAGCCTGAGCCTCGGAGCCTGTCCCTGGGCGGCCATGTGGGGTTTGACAGCCTCCCTGATCAGCTGGTCAGCAAGTCAGTCACACAGGGTTTCAGCTTCAATATTCTTTGTGTGGGTAAGTGGTGGCCTGGTCGGGGCGGGGATAGGAGAGACTTCTTAGAGATGGTGCTCTGCTGTGCTGGTACCTCTCAGGCTGGGGTGGAGGGTTCCCAAGAAAAGGGAGATCTTGGGTTCAGGCTTTGGCCTTGCCTCTGCAAGGATCAAGAACAGGATTAGAGCCAGGACCTGACTCAGAGTCACCACAAAGAGGAAACAGAAGTGGGTCCATGAAAGTGCTGCCTAAACAGTGGGTGTTTATCATAGAAATTCCACAGTCACTAGTTCATTCATTTATTTAAAAAAAGCACAGGGCTGAGAGATGGCTCAGTGCTTAAGCTCTTCCAGAGGATGGGGCATCTGCTCCCAGCTCCGGGCGATGTCAGATGGCTACAACTACTTGTAGCTCAAGTTCCAGGGGACCGGACACCTTCTTTCTCGCTTCCCATAGGTATTCACACATACATACACATAGAAATAAAAATAAATCTTTAAAAAGTTCTCTTCTTACTATGTGACAAGGATACAGTGATGAATGAGACCCTGCTTTATCACCAGATCACAATGTAAAGCTCTAGTACGCTTTGGAACAAACACAACCTGACCGGGGAGGCTCCATGTGTCCAAGGCCTAGGACTCCCAGAGGCACAAAGACTGTGCAGGGCCCTCTGCAGGTATCCCTTGGGAAGGAGACCACAGGAAGCTGAAGCTGCTCAGGCTACAGCTCCTGGTGGTTTCAGGTCCTGCTCCTGTGGACCCATGACCACCTTGACCTAAGACGGGTGATGCTCAGAACAGGCTGTGTGTGTTTTATGACTAGGTTCCTTTGAAACCAGCCTACAGTGGCGTCTCCATAGCCTGGTACTGCCTTTTTCCCACTCCCTGGGGAAATGTCACATGCCCTGCATAGCCATGTCTTACATCAAAGGCTTCCTTTATGACTCTTTCTTCTGAATATTGTTTTCTTTTCTTTTCCTTTCCCTTCCCCCTCCCCTTTAAAAATTTATTCATTTTACTTGAGGGGGCCCATGACAGTGGAAGTCAGGGGACAGCTTGGAGTCACTTCTCCCCTCCTACCATGTGGGTCCCAGGGATTAAACGGGTTGCTAGGTTGGCAGTGAGTGCCTCTACCATCCCCCCACCCAGCCTTTTCACAGACCTTTGTTGGGGTTGGGATGGAACCCTAGAACCTTATACATGCCACGCAAGTACTCTAAAAATGAGCAGCAGCTCAAGCCCCCACACTTTCCAGAGGCCACCAAGGATGGGGCAGTAGGTGGCTTCCTTCCCCTGTCTCATTCTGAAGCTTTGAACCTCACCTCGTCTAGCCAGGTAGCCCTGGTTCCAGCCTTTGATATTCACTTCTCCCTGCTGTCCCCACTCACCAGGGGAGACTGGGATCGGCAAGTCCACACTAATGAACACTCTCTTCAACACGACCTTTGAGACGGAGGAAGCCAGTCATCATGAGGAGAGTGTACGCCTGCGGCCTCAGACCTATGACCTCCAAGAGAGTAACGTTCATCTCAAACTGACCATCGTGGATGCTGTGGGCTTTGGGGACCAGATCAATAAGGATGACAGGCAAGAGGCGGGAAGGGAGCTCCAACTACCCTTGTCCACTCTGAACTGGTTGACCCCCATCCTGAAACTTCCCAAGCGCTTTCTGCCTCACACTGCCCCGTACATACGGCTCTAAGGTGACCTGGGAAGGCTGCTGGGCAAGGACTGAGGTCTTGGGCCGTTGACAGAGCAGTTCTTCCTCTAGGAGGGTATAGGAGAAGGGGCCAGTCTGCTTCTATACCAGATAGGGCAAAGCTGTTCCCAGGGAGGAGAGTGGGGATAGCCTGGCTTGGGCTCTGGTGTCTGCCTCCCAGGTGATGAAGCTGTCTGTAGTTACAGGCCCATAGTTGACTACATCGACGCGCAGTTTGAAAACTACCTACAGGAAGAATTGAAGATCCGCCGTTCCCTCTTTGACTACCATGACACGAGAATCCATGTTTGCCTCTACTTTATCACTCCCACCGGGCACTCCCTGAAGTCCTTGGATCTGGTGACCATGAAGAAACTAGATAGCAAGGTATGTGCCCCTCCTTGTCATCTGACCTCTGCCTTCCACCTCTGGAAGGGGGTGTGGTGACTGCAGTTGGCTATTCTGTGGTCAGCGTGGTCCTCTCTGGCTGTTCACATGGCCCTCGCTGAGCTTTTCAGAGCCCTGTTCTCAGCAACTGCCTTCTCATTTGGAGCCTTGCTTGTTTTTATTTCCTTGTAACCAACCTCTCCTGCTGACTCTCTGCCCAGAGTGTCCTGCTTCCATCCCAGCCTCTTAATCTCTTGTTTCCCCCAACATTTCTTTCCTGTCTGACATGGCTTCCCCTTGGTTCTCTTCTGAGCCCACTAGGAGAGCAGAATGACTCAGAGTTGGATTGTGAATGAGGGTAGAGGAAAGTTTCATAGGATGTCAGGAAGAGTTGGGGTCCTGGAGGACATGTGCCCTCCTTAGTTATCTCTCAGCCTTTGTGACTGCCTTTCCATCTCTGGAGTTAATTGTCACCATGAAAAATGGGGTAACCTTGGCCTGGGAGAGTTCAAGCACTTTTCCATAGCAGCTACTCCTGGGTCATTTTACTTACTTAGTGGGTAGCTTAGTCCCCACTACTGTTTCTGTCAGACCCCAAGCCAATTAGGACCTTCAGAGTATCCTGGGTCCAAGTTGAATGTGCCTGGGGTTCCGGATATCACAGTGGCCACAGATGGCTGGGTTTGGACTGTGACTGCTTCCTGGAGCCACTGCTTTCCCACTCTTAGGACTTGTCCATGGTCAGTGACTATTACTCAGAATAGCCAACCAACCCTCTGCCTCCTCCCCTGACCTTCACAGGTGAACATAATTCCCATCATTGCCAAGGCTGACACCATCTCCAAGAGCGAGCTCCACAAGTTCAAGATCAAGATCATGGGTGAGCTGGTCAGCAATGGAGTGCAGATCTACCAGTTTCCCACGGACGATGAGGCTGTTGCAGAGATCAATGCAGTCATGAATGTGAGTTTTGGACAAAGGCCTCAGGGCTCCAGAGCCAGAGGGCTTGGAGACACCAGTCTAAGACAGCCCCTGGGGACTCAGCTTCCAAGAATGTTATCCTTCCTGTCTCCAGCATAGGGTGGGTGGGCGTTCCACACCTCCCCGGTCTGAATTCTGGGAGCACCAGACTAGAGGATTTGGATATTGGTTTACACTAAGGATCCACTAGATCTGAGTCACAGGTTCTAGACTAAGGGTGGGAAAATGATGCTTGAAGGAGCAAATACATGCATGGTCCTGTCAGTGAGCTCTACTGGCCCTTGAGAAGAACACCCCACAGGCAGGGAAACCCAGGCAGGAGTCTAGAACAGATGGAAAGCGAGCCTTGAGCCCAGAGCCTCCCTGGGGTACAGGGGTGGTGAGAGTCTGTCCCCTCCTTCCCGCACAGTGCTCTCATATATACCTGGGTCCCCTTTCAGGCACACCTGCCTTTTGCTGTGGTGGGCAGCACAGAGGAGGTGAAGGTGGGCAACAAGCTGGTTCGAGCACGGCAGTACCCTTGGGGAGTGGTGCAGGGTGAGTGTGGGGCGGCACATCCCCAGCTGGGGCCTCAACTCAGTCTCCTCTTGTCCTGCCAGTGGAGGCCCTAACCACTGTCCTGCTACCCCGCTGCCCATCTTCATGTTCACCTCACTCTGGAACTCCCTGAGGCACCTGGCCACTCTCCTGCTGTGCCTCTGCCCGTCTCCATGCCTGCTGCATGCTGCGGGACCATGACGCATCCAGCCACTTTCCTGCTGTACCCCAGCCATCTGCATGTGTGCTTTGCTCTGTAGAACCACCAAGGCCCCCTAACCATTGTCTTACCTTTCTTTCCCCTGCTGATCTGAACACTTGCCTCATGAGGCTTTGGAGCCACCAAGGCACCCAACTACCACCCAGCCATTCCCCCACCTATCTGCCTGCCTGCCTCATGCCTCTCACGCCCCCCCGCTTTCAGTGGAGAATGAGAATCACTGCGACTTCGTGAAGCTGCGGGAGATGTTGATTCGGGTGAACATGGAGGACCTGCGGGAGCAGACTCACAGTCGACACTACGAGCTCTACCGACGCTGCAAGTTGGAAGAGATGGGCTTCCAGGACAGTGACGGTGACAGCCAGCCCTTCAGGTGATAGCCTGCACTGTGCTGCCTCAGCCTCTCCTGTCACGCCAGCACTTGCTCTCTCAGGCCTTGTGAGCCCGAAGGCAGAGGCTGGTGGGAGCCCCGCATCCTCTTACCCCGGCTTCTACCTGACTCCATTGCTCCCATGCCCTCAGTTCTACCTGTGGCCTCTCCTTTGGGTCTCCACAGCCTCCAAGAAACGTACGAGGCCAAGAGGAAGGAGTTCCTGAGCGAGCTACAGAGGAAGGAGGAAGAGATGAGGCAGATGTTCGTCAACAAAGTGAAGGAGACAGAGCTAGAGTTGAAGGAGAAGGAACGGGAGGTGCGTGCCAGGCCCAGGGGGCTGTGGAGAGGAAGTGTGGGGGTAGGCTGGCGGAGGTGGAGCTGGGGGGCCTACACCGCCCATACCCAGGTGCCTCCCTCCTCCCCTCCCCAGCTCCACGAGAAGTTTGAGCACCTGAAGCGAATCCACCAGGAGGAGAAGCGCAAGGTGGAGGAGAAGCGCAGGGAGCTGGAGGAGGAGACCAACGCCTTCAACTGCAGGAAGGCGGCCATGGAGGCCCTGCAGTCCCAGGCCGTGCACGCCACTTCCCAGCAGCCCTTGCGGAAAGACAAGGACAAGAAGAAGTAAGTGGCGTCTCCCTCCCTGGGCTGTCTCCTTACCCTGGACTCAGTCATCTCTGCCCTCTGCTTCCCAGCCCTCTGGGCCACCACTCCTCACTTGCTCTCTTCCCGTGCACCTCCTTCTTGCTCTTGTAGTGGTCTTTCTCCGTCCTCACCCTCTCTCTCTCTCTATGTCTCTGTCTCTGTCTCTCTCTCTCCTCTCTGTCTCTCTCTGTCTCTGTCTCTCTCTCTCTCTCTGTCTCTCTTCTCTCTCTGTCTCTCTCTCTCCTCTCTGTCTCTGTCTCTCTCTCTCCCTCTCCCTCTCTCTCTCTCTCTCTCTGTCTCTCTGTCTCTGTCTCTCTCTCTTTCTGTCTGTCTCTCTCTCTCCTCTCTCTGTCTGTCTGTCTCTGTCTCTCTGTCTCTCTGTCTCTCTCTCTCTCTCAGCTGTTTACTCTCCATCCAGCCCCCGCACCCTACACTCACCCCTCCCCTTTGATCTCTCTCTGATCTCTCTCTCCCTCTCCTCCCTCATCCCCCACAGCATCCTCAGTATCTGGGGCCTCTTCACTGCTGTAGTAGGGAAGGAGCTGGGTCACATGGACAGCCAAGTAGCCAGGAACAGCCACGCAGGTGTAACCACAGGAGACCGGGACAAGTCTGTCAGGCCAGGCGAGGGATGCATATGGGACTGTCCTCATTTCCTGACAGATTCCAAAAGAACCTGAGCAGCTGTGACACATGTCCCCCGAGGCCTCTGGGGCAGGGGTTGTGGAACTCATATTAGCTGGTCGATGATGACACATAACAGCAGGGACTCATAATGGCAGGCCAGTCAGCACTGCCCAAGACTGTCATCTCTACACAGCTACTTTGGAAGGCCTGCAGCGGTGAAAGCATGGCAGCTCCCTGCAGGGCTCCAGGGCTGTGCCAGGGAGTAGGGCTGCTCCCCTTGTAGGGGCTGGAGCAGTTTCTGTAGAGTAGAGAATGGCAGATGGCAAGGAGGCTCTTTTAAATGTGTCACCTTAATGGACACAGAAGAGTTCCTCGCCATGTTTCCTTAGCGTTAGCTTTGCTTACTCCTCCTTCCACCCTGCTGCCTCCTCCTCTTCTTTGCCTTCTTTAAAACAAACAAACAAAACCCCACTGTTTATTGTTTATTTTTGTGGTTCTAGGAATTGAACCCAGGGCCTTGCACATGCTGGCTAAGTTCTCTACCACTGGTCTGCATCCCCGACCATATCGGTGCTCTCCACAGCCCTTTCCCACATTTTATCTGGAGTCTGATACCCTGTCTCCAGTGGCCCTCAGTCTCCCACTCTGCTTCATCCAGAGACTCAGGCCCCATCATACCATGGTGTTCCCGTCCGCCTCAGCATCTGGGGCCTCTTCACTGCTGTGGTAGTGAACAAGGCTGGGTTTCCCTGGCCCTTGAATTATATTTGGTCTCATTGTTTTCTTGCCAACCCAAAAAATAAGCAAGCATCCATTCTGACCCTCGTTCCCGAGCTCCTGTTTTACCTTGTATTGTGTAAGGAAACATGTACCCGGGCCTTCTGTTCTTGGGGTCATGGAGTCTAGTGGTCAGGCCCACACAGTGGACTGTTAGCTGTCACCCTGGGATACATCTTGATGCATAAACTCGACTATGTCCTGCCTCACCCCTAGATGACATTCACCGATGGGCAAACACAGACACATGCATGCACACACACACACACACACACACACACACTCACACAGACACTCTCTCTTACTCTCCTGCCTCAAACTTAAAAGTGCTTCTCTCTGGGGCAGACAAAGCACCTAGGAATAGATGCACATTGTGGTTCCCAAGGTTTGCTCTCTGCTTTGGGACAGGTGTTTCCCCTTCCTATAGTCTTCCCCCATCCTGATGTCTGACAGCTCACCTCAGATGCCTATTCCCAGAGGACTCCAGGCCCAGCTCCCCCCAACCAGGAGAATTTATAGTTGCTTTCAGCCCTGGTCCCATGCCCAGCCCTTGGTTTTGAGTGTGGAGGTTGAGGTGCAACCAGTGTGGGCTTTAAGTTGGCATCTCAGAAATGTGCCCCCTTGTGAGAGGGACAGAGTCTGTATACTCAAAGTGACTGTGCCCTGCTTCCTGGTGCTGTGGCCTAGGCAATCTCGTGGGAGTAGAGGTTAGAAGAAAATGGGAGAAGCCCCAGGGCCAGTTAGGTGTGGTAGCATATGCCCATGTTCCCAGCACTGGGGAGGCAAATGCAGGAGGCTTGCTTTTAACTTTGAGGTCAATCTGAGCTATATATAATGAGTTGCTTGACTAGCCTGGGCTACATAGCAAGGGCCCTGACTCAAAGGAGAGGAGGAGAGGAGGAGAGGAGAGGAGAGGAGAGGAGAGGAGAGAGGAGAGACTACAGGGCGGTTGAGGGTAGAACCCCACTGTAAAGATAGACACAGCTCTCAGTAGAGGCCTGTCCCAGCTATCTGGTCTCCTGGAATATTCGGGGATTACACTAGAGAGCTTCAGCCGATTTGACCCTGGGGGAGAGGACACTGTACCTGTGGAGCTATAATTGGGGTTCAGGGGTCCTCATCTCCTCTTGCACTGGTCCAGTGGGATAGGGTGGGCCAGTCATGCATTTGGGAAGTGGATTTTTTCATGGCCATTTAGTTAAATGGCTTTAGTTGGTTTGTATTCTTTCTTTAAATTTTAATCAATTTTTGCGAAATTACTTCCCAATCAGATTTTGACCCTCAGCCCGGGACGCCACAAAATGAAGCAAGTTCCCTGCTTTGCTCATCACAAATGCCAAACTGACTGCCCTTTCCCGTGTTCACCTTGCTGTCTTTTGTTTCTGTTTGATTTGGTGTGCGTATCTTTTAATGTGTCTGTTTTTGTTTTGTTTGTTTTATTTTTATTTTTCAGTTAAAGCACGCACAGACTTACATGTCAAGAGCGGACTTTAGACTTTCATGTGTTAAGTTGCTTGAGTTACACCTTGTGACCCTTCTCCCATAACATGGTGTGAGGATGGACTGGGAGCCGGTACAGACTCCAGTGTTTACAGCCTTGCCTTGTCCCTACCTGCTGGCTCCAGGCTGCCTGGGCCTGGCCAGCTTTCCCTCTCTATGCAAGCGTGTCAAAGCCATGAATGCTGGAATCCGAAACTGACAAGGTTTATTTTTTCCAGAGCCGGTGGCTGGTCTTCCATTTACAGTGTCACTATCCCTTGACGGAGCAGTTATGTGCCAGTCTAGAGATGGCCCCAGCCAGTGATGCTGGCCTGATTGTTCATCGTCAAGCCAGCGACTCATGTGGTGCCTAGGCGTGGCCTGTGGTCTGGTATATACATGCTGCAGAATTGGCCTGTTTCCCCTTCATTTTAATTTTTCTAACCTAGAGCTTAATTTTAATAACTTTGAAACACTTTTAATTTTTATTTGGCACCAGTGTAAAGACAAATAATATCTATCTTTCCCATTATTTTCATAAGTAACACAGATTACCTGATCTTTTTTTTTTTTTTTTAACTAAAAAGACTTCTAAACCTTCTGACATAGAAAGCACCCCTATGACAAATAGGGAGAGGTGGGAAATAAAGTTCCTATTCTGGCAGTGTTTGGGACTTCTTTACAGACTGAAGTGGACCCCGAACAAGGCCACACCCAGCCTTTTTACTGTGAATGTAAATGGAACAGCAGCCCAAAGCCCTTGTCTCTCTCTGCCCTAGAGGTGCTACCGGTGACAGGGACCAAGTGCGCGTGTGTTAAGTGTTTGACTCCAAATAAGCTGCCTGCTCCCGACAGTGTGCTCAGTGGGGAGAAGGCTGTCATGTCAAGGTCATTGTTACTTCTTTCCTGGCTGAGGCAAGGAAATAAAGGTGTCCCAAGTATTAGGGCAATTTGAGATGGGGGTAGGAAGAAGAAAAAACAAAACAAAAGCCTAGCGGCTAAGAGCTTCCCCTCCAGCTATAGTTTCCAGGTAGACACTTAAAAGTCTCTTCCAGGTGTGATGGTGCAGGCCTGTAACGCCAGTGCTTGGGAAGTAGGAAGCCAGAGACTGGCCTCAGTCACATAGTGAGGTAGGAAGCCAGAGACTGGCCTCAGTTACATAGTGAGAGAGAAGCCAGCTTGGCTTACGTGAGACTGTGTCTCAAAAATAAAAACAAGAAAAGTACTGACAAAATCTAGTCTGCTCTGCTCCCGATGGTTTGCAAGCCTCAGAGTTGAAAATGGGTGAAAACTAATGTCCTTAGTGTTGGTGCAGGACAAGGCTGGACACCAGGCTCCCCAGAAAGATAGACTTCATCCTGAGGAGCTGATGACCCAGTGAGAACCCGAGGGGACCACACTGATTTTACACCCCCATTTCCCTCCCACCGCCATTTCCCCCTTTCCGCCAGGCCTGCTTCTGTTCGTCCAGGACCAGTCTGGCTTCTTCTGTCTTTCTAAGATGATGGTCCATCCAGAGTGAGCTGAAGGGGAAGGTTATTGTGAGTCCACTTAGGCTGCTTGGACCTGTGAGAGGCCACACACAGCAGAATAGTGTTTGTTGATGCTCTGAGGAAAAATCCTCCATGTCCAGGGTGGATCCTGGCTGCCAGGCTGGACTCAACTATTTACCAAGACTGTTTTAAGCAAAAGAATATAAAATTCAGTCTAGGCCTTGGAAGCCTTGAGAGCTTCACAGCTCGTCTGCCTCTGGTCATGGCTGAACTGATGTGGGGCTTTGGTGTCTGAGGCAGAGGTGAGCTGCAGGCCAGTGGCTCCTCTTAGGGAAACTGTGTATCTGGAGGTGTATTCACTCAGGTCCACGCCTGACCTTCAGAGCGGCCTCTCCTAGCCAATATATTTAGAGATTAGGATAACCCAACAGGTCTACTGGTTGTATAAAATAGGATTGCTGGCTCCATGCTGGACTCTGGAGCCTGCAAATTCTACCGTTATCTCCTGCAGCTCACCAGCCACAATGTGGGCATACTGGAAGGCTGTTACGTTCAGTGCCCACCTTTTGGCATCCCTGGGGAGACCTGACTTGTACTTTCTAGGGTCTAAGTTGCCCCCCCATGGATCCGGTCAGCCATGGCAAGCTTTTCTCCTGCTGTGTAGAATTTAGTTATCTGTAGCTGAGGTTAAGTTAATCCTTGATGTGCAAGAAAAATGGGAAACTTGCCCCTTTGGGGATGTGATCCCCATGTACACCTGTGATTTACTCTTTCTTCCCTGTCATTTGTTGGCTTCATGGGGACTGTCATAGGATCATGTTGACATTTGCTGTTACGTTTTCCTTTAGTCATTTTGTGTTGTGGTATAATCACCATGTAAATTGTGGTTCAAACCTGGATTTTTGGTAGAAAAAAGATTGTTAGTAATCATGCCAAATCCCTAGGCCCTCAGGAGGCTGAGGCAAGAGAATCAAAAGTTCAAAGCCAACTTGGGCCACTTAGTGTGTCAAATTTTTTAAAAATGCTGGGCATGTGACTCATTGCTAGAGAACTTGCCTAGCATGACTGGGAACTAAGTTTTCTCCCCAGCACTAAGAAAAGAAACCCAAGTCAACAGCCATCAAGCAGATGTATCCCAGGCCAACCAAGAAGTGTGTTCTCCCTCATACTGGGTGGCCTGAATCCAGGCATTTTGTGATTGTGTGCACACTGACCCTGTATATGTGTGTGTGTGTGTGTGTGTGTGTGTGTGTGTGTGTGTGTGTGTGTGTGTGTGTGTGTGTGTGTGTACTCCCCTTGTCTGGGGCTCATACTGGGTAAGAGACCCAGGAAAGCCTATTTGCTTGTCTGTTATGTTACCATGCATTTCTAAAACCACTTCAGTTGTTAATCCATTTACTCCTCTATCCATCGACTTGTTTCTGTTCCTTTCCTCCCACTTTGTACTCATTTGTTTTCATTAAATTTTGCATTTATTTTGAGTTTTTTTTACCGTGTCATTTTTGGGCAGTAGCTTTTCTGATTCAAGTTTCTTGAGCATATTAATATTCTGTAGCTGTGGCAAAATACAGCCTGCTTCTGCTGTGACCTTTGTGGGGACAGATCTCTTGAAAAAAATTCCATTTCCTAGTGAATCCTGATGCAGGCACCTATGTGCTTGTGGTACGAAGGAGTCACAGGAAGGAGAATCTGCAGTCTGTGGCTTTTGAGGAGTTGTAGGGTCCAAGACTGAGAGAAGGCATACCCTGCCCTCAAGGAGTTTCCATCTTTACTGAGGATGCTTGGCTTGAAACAGCTAACACTTATGTGTTCTCAGCTCTTGTAATGACATGCTCTAACATCTCTAGTCCTCACCGTCCTGTGACTAGACACTATTTCTGACCCCATTTTATGGGGGAAGTCAGAGAGGGTTCATAATTACCTAAGGCCACACAGCAAGCAACTGGAAGAACTACAGTTTGAATATGGGTTATCTGCGTCCTTAGTTTCTGAGCTAAAGCTTGACATCCCATCAGGATCGCAGGAGAAGAGTGGAAATGTGGTCACTGTTAAAGTATCGTGTGACGGCGTGGGATGTGGGCCTGAGATGGTTTTGTGGAGGTGGGACGCCTTGGGAGACGGAAATGTTTGGAAGGAAGGGTGGGCTGGTGGTTGAAAAGAACTAGCTACCTCTGGTCTTTCTCCATCTCCAGTTCCTCTGGCTTCAGTCCTTCACTAGCCCCTGGCCCTTCCAGGTGGGGACAGAAGGAAGATGGATTGTGTTCATATTATCCAATCATAGGGATTCCCATTGTGTGTTGAGGTGAGGTAATTTCCTAGTTAAAAACAAAACAAAAGACAACGAAGAGCAGACCCCAGGCCCCTGATGCAGTCTTTAACAATGCACAGTGGTCCATTGGCAGTGGAAGCATTCACCACCAAGAAGAGTAATTTCATTTGTAGACACACAGGCAGTAAGTCACCTCCTCATTCTGATATGATACTCTCGGGGCTTCCTTCTTTCTCCATGAGCTTGAGAATAGAATCAACAGGGACATTTTATAGCTAGAGCCACCTGGTTGATAGACCCAGGTGCTATGCATGCCACAGAGTACCCACACTGGTGTGAGCCCTTGAGATGAACTCCTATGCCAACCACAGCGTCTACTTACACATATCGGCCTCTGGATGGAAACAGCAAGAGGCCAGTCAGCTGTAGTTAACTGGAGATGTCTGAATGTCAGGTTTCTGGCCACTGTCAGCTCCCTACCCTTATCCCCATTTTCCCCTGGTCTTCTCAGGACCTACCTGGAGGACAGTTATTGACAGGACCCAGAGGACAGGGTTTCAGGTATATGTGACTCTAGTAAGAGATGAGCAAGAGTTCTATTAATGGAAAGTAGGTCTTCCGCAGCACCGAAATCCATTCCAAGTGTATTTTTACTGAAACCTCCAACACCCAGGTATGGTGCCATGTGCCTGTGATCCCAGCACTCCAAAGGCTGAAGTAGGAAGATTTTAGGTTTGAGGTTAGCCTGGGCTGCAATTTGGACTGGAAAAAACGGGAGGTGGTAAAATGACTTACCAGGTAAAGATGCTTGCTGCTAGTCCTGCCAACTTGAGTTTGATTCCCCAAGACCATGTAGTGGAAAGAGAGAACGAACTCCCACAAATTTTCCTCTGATCTCCACATAATACACAGATAAATGTGTGTGGAGGGGAACTCCAATAAGCAAAACTAACAAAAAGCTAAAATGGTACTCTGGCCTCACAATGGCCAGTCTGGTCCCTGACTACACAGTGAGCATCTGGCAACAGACCCACCCCTATCCCATGGCTTAGCTCATAATAAAATTGTCTCTCATGGTGACAAAGCTTCATGGATCACCTCTAGATTTATGGCCTAGACATTCAAGTCCCCAGTTTGGGGACTGACACAGATGCAACTAGCATCTTGGCCAACTTGGCTCCACAGTATTGAGAATGGTTTGACAGTAGCACAGCTTCAGAGAGGCAGCTGGCTTCTTCCCTGTCATCCGTGCAGGTCGCCTCCTGGCATCATGGCAGGCAGGGCAGCCTGGACTCACACCCAGCCAGCAGCACAGGACTCTGCATCCTCTTCATACGTGTCACAGAAGCATCCTTAGTGTGAAGTCCTCTGCGTGAGGGAACTGTGGGGCTTCAGAGTCCACCAGGGAAATCGCCAGCACATAGCAGGTCTAGAGAGGAAGCGGGGTGGCTGGGACTGGAGTGCTGCTCTCATGTTTGCGAGACGTCTAAGAAACCGGAAGGACCCCACCAAGCCTGGCATATAGAACAGCAAGAATTGGTCTGTGAGGAGCAGGCCGTGGTGGCACACACCTTTAATCCTAGCACTGGGGGTGCAGAGGCAGGTGGAGCTCTTGTGAGTTCTGAGGCAGCCCTGACCACATAGTGAGACTCTGTCTCTGAAAACACCCCAGGAGGAGTCCCATCCTTCAGGTGGAGGAGGACTCACGCTGGCTCTTACTCCAGCTCAGAGGGACAGAGCCAGCCAGCTGAGGAAGGAAAAGTTAGAGTGCAGTCTTCTCCCTGGCTTCCTGGTTCCTGGCAAGGTCACAGCTTCAGGGTGCCTTACCTCTTCTGCTCCTGATATAACTTTCTTCTGAGAGCAGAGGAGCTTCCCCAGTGGTTCTAGAACTTTCTCCCAGTCTCATTATGAGACAGTTAAAGCCAAAGAGTTCACGGGTCCTGGGTGGGGGGGGTCTCAGGGTGGTAACAGGGAGACTGACTGGGAGGTGAAACAGAATTGGTCTAGGAGGGTAACCACAGATTTCTCTGGTGTGGCTTCACAAGCACCTTGCAGCCAGGGTACTGCTCAGCACTGACGGGTGTCAGCACAGAGTGGTACCAGCCATCAGACACAGGAACAGGCAGTCGAGTGCCAAGATGATCACGAGGCACTTTGAGCACCGTATAAGTACCCTACTTCATAGCATTAATTCTACCATCCTAGGAACCTTCATCTCCAACCTCAGTAATTATCACTAATCTACCATCCCACCCTAATCTGTCCTGAGGGCTGCTGACACGGCGCCCACCCTATGCCTGTCACCACACACTCAATTTAAGCACTCAGGTCCTCTCTCTGCCCATTCCCCACCTTGGCCATCAAACTCCTGTATTCTTGTTCCTCATTGCCAAAAAACCTTCCCCATGGGTTCAAGGTTTGCCATCCTGGGGAACACAGAGCATAACCACATACAGAAAGCATGGACTACAGTCAGACTCTTGCCATAGCTGTCGTACTCAGTGCATCTTCTGGAACCCCCAAAAGAACAAGAAGGGCCACGGGTGCCCCTTTCAGCACAGAGCATGTCAGCCAGAAGGACCAAGTTGATGTCTACCTGTGCTTTCTTTAGCAGATCAGATATAGGAGCACAGCAGTCGGGCATGAGCCTCTCCAACTCTAAGGTGATGATGACCAAAACCAATGTGGAACCCTTGAACTGCAGCAGCTGGTGGCCCGCCTTACAGTGCTGCAGCTGCCTGGTCAGGGATGCGACGTGGAGGGAAGGATTCCTCTGAGGCAGCGGTTCTGCTACACGGGGGCCAGCTCAGGACCGTCAGGGCGTGGAACTGGAGACCATGGTTTTCAATGTTAGAACAGAGTCCCACCCTCTCCCCCTAGTTTTCACATATCAATAACCAAAAGTGCAAACGCTTTCAATTTCCATCAGGGAGCATCGGGGTGGCCCAATTCTTTTCGTTCCCAGATAGTCTGATGTGTGACATGGCCACTCTGAGGCTTAAGCGTATAGATGGCCATGTGTGGATTCTGAGAAATGTGAACCTACTGTTCAAGCTAAAGGGAGCAGGGAAGTTATCTGGAACCGCTTGACTTGAGGAGAAACCCGCAACCTTGTCAGCAGTTTTCCGTAATGAAACTGCCCTTAGTGATTTAACCTTCACGCTTTGTAACAGACCAAAACGCCATGCCATTTCCTCATTTGCATAATTTTGCCTTACTAACAGAAGCACATCCTGAAGGATGGCCTCCATCCCCCCAACTAAAACTAACACGAACCGGTGTCGGTGTCTGATATTTTTTTTTAAGTGCCAGATCAGTACGGTCTAACGCCTCAATAAGGATTGTGTGTAGGTGAATAAAGACAGCTAAGTGAATGTGTGTAAAGTATAGCAAAGGCAGACAGATATTTATATACAATATTCATAGAATGGAAAGTTAAAATATTTTTGCAGTGTGTATTTAAGAGAGAAACTGACCATAATAGTGCCGTCCAAATGTCTTTGTCAAGTGACTTCTGTGTCCTTTAGACATGAGAGTCTGGTGGAATGGTGTGGGATATAAAGATCTATAAAGATAACTCTTTTCACTCTTCTGTATGTCGTGAGCCTTTGTGGATCACCTCGCCGTGGTGCACCTGCAAGGACGTGTTGCACGCCTGTGCCTTGCCTGTTCTGTGTTGTAAACAGCTGTTCCCAAGGCACAGATGAGTCTCAGGGAGACTCTATCAACTCCTGCTTATTATAATAAGAAGCCCAGCAATGTTCCCATGTGGAGGTCCTAGTGAAGTCTGTCCAGAGCAGCCAGTCCTTCCTCCGCAGCTCACCCCAGGTACAGCGAGAGCCACGATGCTCTATGAAGTCTTTTACGTGTGGAATTGACTGTAAAAAGAAAATAAAAGGGGCCAAAGCCCTGTGTCATATCACAGTAGCTTTTGTTTTCTTATCCATGGGGACTGGGGCATCCACAAACTGAGTGGATTTGCCTTCTAGTGGCCTGGCATGAACATACTTCTGGAAAAAAAACCAAACCATCACTAGGAAGTGGTGACTTCTAATGCACATCACATGGACTCCCTTTGCGAAAGGTCTCAAGCCCCCACTGCCTGCCAGCGCAGACTCAGAGGTGCTGCCCAGGCTGGGCCATCTGGGGTCAGGGCAAGACCTCACCCCAAGTTTCCTAGGGTCTGTGGGGTTTGCCCACTCCTCCCAGTCC